ACAAGCATTTCTTCCCTCTTGCTTTGCATGAGCGTCCACGATGTGCGAGCCTTATTAAATATAGGATGCAGAAGAAAAAGAGAGGCTAGGTAGAGTTTCATTGCTAATTGGAAATGAAATTCAAAGCAAATAAAAGAAGCACAATCCAAAATTCATTTGATATATTCTTAAACTGCAACGAAAATTTATAATGACAATGATACTAGTAAATAGGACCAGAACAAAACTGTAAAAGGATTGCCTCCGTGACAACCCATCCACCCGAAACTAGAAAACCACAATAACCTCGGGCCTAAACCCACTTAGAAATAAACAAATGAAATATACACATTTTTTTAACACATTTCTTTTCAGCAATGATGACGTTCACTCATCAAATGACAACGCCTCCCTGTAAGAGACTAGACAAAACTCATGCTTGACCAGCATTTTATGGCAAAGAATGGGGACGAATATATTTCACACGCAAACAAGAACAGAAAAAGTGTGCACCCCGGGGGCAGCAGCAACATCCAGAGTCGCCTTTAAGAGACTACGAGAGGATAGACTGCAAGGCAAGTTGTTGCTGGGGCTGCAAGGAGGACCAAGTTGAGGCCAAAGTAGAAGGCGGCAAATTCTGTTGCATCTGTCTCAGCAAATTTATCATTCGGCTTGCAGTTTGCTCCGTTGCTAAATCCTTGCCCGCACATAGTACCTGCACAAGCAATTAGTCCCCTCAAGCAAAAAGAGCGATGCATGAAGCCACTTGACCATGTTATCTAAAAATGCACCAAGTAGCATCTCATTTGCTTATACAAAAAAGATACAGGCCATAATGAACAACTTTGCACACAATTATTGTTGAGGGTCTGAAACTATCTTATCAGGAATTGCAGAAAAACAGTAAGTGGATTTTTAATTCTTAATAAGAAATGCCATATCAGGTCCACAGTGGCCATGTTCCAGCAATGAATCTTACTTAGATTCATACTTTTATATAATAAGGCAGAAATTCTGTGTTTCTCTTTTAAGACTTGTTTGAAAAAATGAATGGATTTAATGGATGGGAACACCCTATTCGTCTAGTCATAGAGTCCATTTTCCACTATGAAGTATGATCACTCGAGTAAAAAATACTAACTACAAACTGACCTCGGCAAATACTGCAACTATTTTGGGAAGATATTGATTATTTGGACCCAAAAGTTCCATATCCGACCTGTATATGTAAAATTAACTTAGTGCTTACAACAATTATAATATAGAAAAGGTAATTCAAGTAAAAGTTACAAATACTACAAAGGGGAGGGATATTAGCGAATAAACTTGCCTCTCCACCAAAGAGCAAAGCTGGTCGTGCACAATTTTTGCTTCAACCAAATCACCTTTTATTGGTAAGCAGTTTAACCATGCTGGAACTACCTGTCACAACCATACACAATATGTATGAGAGACCAAAATAAAGTATCCATTCAGTCCTGTTAAAATCTTTGAAAGGTTGACATGAGTCTATATGGAACATGGATAACAATATAAGAAAAAATTGAGAATTTATTATCCGCATAAAGCAACTGAACAGGAGAAGTCCTCAAAAATTGTAGTTGTGAGCATGTCACTCAGCAGAAAAGTGTACATATATTTCTTATTTTGGACATTGTCCATTCTCCTCCAATAACAGAAAAATTAGGGTCCTACACCCACAGTGGTTAATAGTTATTACTTAGAAAAATTAAACATTACCTGAGCTGAATCAATACTGTCACGGTGAAATTGACAAATTTTCCCCAGAGCCGAAACAGCATTGTCATATGCCATTACGTTTTCAGGTTGTAGAGCATTAGGGTGTCGTAATACAACATTTAACCTTGACAAAGCCTCTGCAGAAATTCATGAAAATTTGATACTCTATGCAAAAAAATAACCCTTTTTAAGAAATGTAAATTAAGTTACCTCCAACAAGTGGTTTAAATACAGATCCACCAAACTCTGCACAGACACCAAGCCCATACACAGCAGCCTGAAAAGGTCATAGAACTCAATGAGAAGGAAAATAACTAAACTCAGCACGTTAAACTGTTAGTAAGTGCACACCTGTCTAACATCAGGATTGTCATCGTTGCAAGCTTCCAGTAGGAAGGGAAGATATGTATCATAATATCTGTTGCATAACAAGAAGTCAGATAATATAAAAGCTTTTGTTTGCAAACATGGTGTCAAGAAAATGAAGTAAAGAAAGCTTACTTCAGTGCTGCCTCACGACACTGCTCTGCAACATCATCAAAGATGCAAATTGCAATTCTTCTTTCTTCCGGCGTCTTATCCTTCCCCTGCATTCCAACCCAAATGAGATTAACAAAAAAAAAAAAGTTATCAAATGGGTCCTAACTAAAAGATTAAAGATTATTCCGAATTTCCGTAGTTAATGTTTTAAACTCAAGAACTGAAGGAAATTTTGTAGTTTTTAGTACAATTGTTATTATTTCTGTGGCAAGATGCCCAGTCCTCAAAGGGCTCCACACCCACTTTTCCACCTCCAATTAATAAAAAAAACTTCAGATAAACTGATAGAAAGCCGGAAGGTATGTGAATGCATAAACAAGAAGTCCTATATACCTAAATTCCTGTATCACCAAATTAATGTTACACCATCATAAGTAACCAAAGGTATAACTAATTCCACTAGAAGGGGTTCTTACTCATGAAAGAAAACTGTGGGAATTCGGTTTGAAAAAGGATCTTAGAGTGTCT